TTGACATTGCTTTAATATTGTATTCGGACATTTCTGTTTTTTTAACTAACATCATTACCCATTTATTTGCAAAAAGTAAGAATATACCGCTTAATTCAAATTCTTCAGTGATTTTGGACAAGTTAAAGTGCAGGAGGCACAACAAGCAGGCAGAACATTCCGCTTGAAGTACCAGGAAGAGTATGCCCATCAAAAACTAGCACACCGAGGCGGTCCTCTGCTGGTAAGTGGCGATGGTCTGAAAATGCTTCACTGGGCTTAATTTTTTTTCAGGATCATGTCTATACTCCTCCAATCCCTCGTGGAGGTATATTTGTACCACCTAATCAACCTCAGCCAAATCAACCAAGTCCTCCTCGTTACCCGCACGGTCCTCTGTTTCCGGCTCCAGATCCACTGCAACCAATTCCTGATCCGATGAATCCACTTGCTCAGCCGCCTCGAGTCAATCCATTCGGTCCAGGAGCTCCATTTGGTGGTCAGGGTGGCCCATTAGGGCCACTCGGAGGGAGAGGTTCGTTTTGACTGCTACAATAACTTATTTCCTCTTTGAATAGAGAATCTCTTATTTCAGGAGGTGAGTTCAATCCGTTCGATCCAGACAATCGTGAAATATTTCCAGGACGTCCTAATCAGGGCGTCCCTCGTGGAGGGCCACGATATTTCCCCGCAAATCGTTGGGATCGAAATGACTTCATTTGAACGATTGGGTCACTCGCCTTTTTCACTATTTGTATATGAATCCATCGTATTTCCTGGTACTGTAATTACATATTTACCCAGTGTAGTCTTCATTGTGATGTTGCTGAAATACGGTCATATCACTCAGTCATGCCATTAGTGAGATTTTGTTGTTGCTTCTATAATGATAAATGGTCAAGTGACAGATTTGAGAAGTATTCCAACAGAATTTAGGTACTGTGAATGTGGGTCACAAATTGGAGAAAAAAGCGGTCCAGTTCTTTGATTTACCTGGTTTATCACAACCCCTTCTGAGGTGAAAGTCGGAAGTAATAGTAACCATTTCTCAAGTCGATGCACATAGCCTATAATACCACCACTCAGCTGATCAGGATAACCTATCGCCTCGTTGTTAAGTAGAATAGCCTCTCCCGTTTCATTGCTTCCAAAGGAGTTGCGCCTGCGGCATAGCCGGGACGTAGCGGTACCACACCGCTTCCGCCACTGCCCACCCACCACTTCGCCGTCTGGCTCTAGCCGCCCCCGCAAAGAGAGGCCAGTTTTGATACGCTCAGCTCTGATGAGGCAAGTCTCATGCGCGAATCAGCGGGTCAGAAGAAGTCCCATTTTCTAGGGTCTTAGCTTTTCCTTGTTTTTTTTTCTTCAGCCGTGCATCCTGACCACATCTACCTTGATTTGTAGTAAGCTTCTTGTCGTTACAGACTCCGGCTTTACCAACTTCCATAGCGGACTATTGAAATGGAGCTCCAACACGGCTCGAATCGGTGCCTGAGTATTGAATAGTAAAACTTTTCACCACTTTCTCCTTTTATTTCCCTCCTACAGGAATCACTGAATGTCTTTGAGATAGCTACGTACAATTTCAAGCGAAAGCTTACAGCTGATAATTGTGCTTCTACCAATTGATAATGTAAAATGAATAGTGATGAATAGAAAGTTGGAATTGGTCAAGTGATTCGACGCGGATGTGCTGAGTAGCACAAAGAAGCTAGCTAAGAAAAGGGGCCGTGTATAGCTTACACGTTGTTTGATTAAAGGAGTTGATCGTAGTAATGGTATTATAGTATCGTAGTAATAGAGTCGTCCTGTTGCTGGGCGCACGGACCAGCGGCAGGGCGAATTGACCAGTGCTTGGCACCTGATCACGTCGTTTCTAGAGCATCTCCATTTCAGCTTACCCCCACATTTCGCGCACCCCATCCTGGCTTATGCGCTTTAGGCGAGGATTGACGATAAGATTGGGTTGGGTTCATAGTGGAAGTGGGGATGCTGAATAATGCCCAGTGGCGAAAAAAGCAAAGAAATCCGTCAACGCGCAAAATGGGACCCCTTTCTTTGCCCGTTGACCTCCGATAATGGACGAGCTAGCAACCAACTAAGAGGTCTTTGCACATGTTGAAGCAACACCCCCAAATTATTGGGTCTTGGCAGTTGATAATAAAGCTGTGGATGCCGAAGTGACCAAAAGTGACAAAAGAAGCGTAGAAACCCAAAGGAGCTCTTAACAGGAATTCTATTTCAAAAAAAGGAGCGCGGGATAGACGAGTTGTACGAACCCGCCTGCTTCACTGCTCAACCTAAGCCGCGCGCATGTGAAGTAGCCACTGCCGCGATTCACGTTGCGTCTCGTGGAGTGTGCTCGACATAACTCGTTCAAATGCTAAGATTAGACGCCAAGTGATGACTTTGTGAGCCCATAGTGCCATTGACGATCTTTAAAAGCCGCGTACAGCGGCAAGCCTCTAACCATTCCCCTTCCGTGAGCTAATCTAACGCACTCACCAAACAGATTCTCCGAACGACTTCTACTGAATGTGTTGCTTTAAGCCAGTGGCCACCATTATTCTAGCGAAAAAGCAGAGGATGTATACGAGCATGCTAGTGGAAAAGTTGTACCGAACACAACTCAAAATTGGATAACCTTATTAAAAGAATAACGAACAAGTTGAAATGCTGCTCAACACACTGACAGACGGAGCTCCAGAAAGGATCGTCTCACTATCCTTTTTGAGTCGTCCACACTGGAGCGCGAAGATCAGGCGCAATGCTTTGAGAGGCCGCGACGCGGTAGTCCCCGCCGATCTAGTTGGACGCGCGGTTCTGACAAGAGTTATATCGAATGCAGCCGGGGCGCAGCAATTCGCGCGCCTTTGAGAACGAAAAGACCACATGTCGCTTCCTTCTGCCCTTTACTACTGCTTCCGCTGGCGCACGTACTTCGATGCTCCACATACTCTTGATCGTAATCTCTCACTTTAAAGTGGAGTGGCAGTGAATTGCAAGACCATCTAAGAAAAAGGAAGTACAATCGTGGAAGTGCCTCAGGTTAGAGGCAAGAGGCAGTCTCATTCCCAGCTGAAATTGAGGATAGGCAAGACGCATCAGCGCTCTCGAAAGATTATCGTATGTTCCATTATATGGTATTGGAATCAGATCAGCACGCTTGTTCACACTGGCATGTGCTACTTTCGATTCTTCAGAGTCCTCTTCCTTATAATCAAGCAAATTAGATTTCTCTGTGATCTAACGAATACTATTGATTATGAAAGGAGCTTATTCTGAGAAGCAATATGACATATGTAGCAGTTTAAGCTTAAATGACTTTTTTTCTTACCTTAATAGGAAAACCTGGCCCGATAAATCACTAAAGTTTCGCGTTTCTGATTACAGATACCCAAAAATTGCCCCTCGCGCCTTTTTTTTAACACATTGACGACAACGCGGGGGATATATATCCCGCGCATTGCAGGCCATGTCGGACCGTGCGGGATATATATATCCCCCGCACCCATTACACTCATTTTTTTCGCGCACGCCTGATTCTTTTAGAAGTTTCTTGTATTCATTCCATGGAAGAGACCTTGACGTAGCTACAAACATAGTGGCCCTTAGAATGGTCACGTATACTTTAATTTAGAGGAGGATTTCTGAACCATACGAAATCTTCATTTCAATAAATTTTTCGTTTACTTTTTCTTTTTATTAATGTGAAGATTTAAATAGTAGTAGAAGTAGATAAGGAACCTTAGGGATGACAATATGTGTGTTTTGATTGGAATAAATCGCCGTAAAATTGCTTTTGAATTCCATTGCAGCTAGTTCTGATAAATTTCGCTTTTTCATTGTTACTCCATGTCTTTCGATCGAAATTCCACTACTGCTAACCCCTGGTTAGGTTGCGCTCATTACAATTTACTGACTTGGTTTCAAATTTTATCATTAGTTGTGTATTTATCACTCAAAATCTGCTTGAACGACCTGAGGCGAGCGCGCCCGCAAAATCGCCGCGGTCCCACGTGGCCAAAAAAGCCAAAACTCGCGTTGTCGTCAATGTGTTAAGATAACAGCAAATAGGCAATTCATTTGTTTCAATTCGAGTGTTGCTCCGGAAGTGAAGCTTGACCCTAATGGGAACAGGTTTTACGAACCTGAGATTTGTTGAATGCCCTCCATGAGATAATGTGAGTAAAATATAGCGAATTAGTTGGAAGAAGAGCAGCAGCCGTAAGCCATGCAATATGATTTAGTCTAGTGGGGGAGACCCTAGACACGCCATTAGACACCAAATACTACGGTCCGTTCCCTTATGTGCCGATCCACTATGCTTTTCGTCTTGGGATCTTGTCACTCTCCTCGGTATCCCTTACCTTTAATCTCATGGCTGCTTCTTACCAGGAATTTCTTTCAGGACTGCCCGCTTTTTTCCAAAGCGATTCCTGAATGATACAGGTGTACATGCAATGATCACACTACGGTTCACTTTTCCTAAGCGTACCTCCTGTATACCAAGAAAGTTTATTAGGACTGCAGATTTTACAGGGTTAACGAGGTGTGCACATTATAGAAATAACTGGTTTGCTTCCAAAAATCCTCATGATTGTACATGGAAAACTTAGGAAATTTTGATCAGTATTGGAGCGTTATTGAAAATATGCACTGAAGGGAGTGTAAAGGTTTGATAAGCAAGCTCGACGACAGCATGCTGGAGTACTTTGCACGTTGTGGCGCATGGCGAGGTTGACCACCAACTACATATAGGCCGGGGAAGAGTTTGTGGTTTGAGTTGCCGCTCACTTTTGATTTGTATTCTCGTCTCACGTCTCTATGTTTGCTGCCGTGCGCCAAATTGGTGTCATATTCGCGAACAGAATCACCAATAACTCTTACAATTAGGTTGTTACTGAATAACTGCTGACGCAGAAGTTGGTTGGCCCCCCAACACCCCACGGGCGCCGACAAGACCTGGACACAGTGCAATCGAACATCTATCTCTTGAAGGAACGCTAGGGTGAACACGCCAGTAGCTAGAAATCTAAGCGTAGTATTGAGCTCTTGACCTAACGTCGAATAATGGAAACCATTGGTTAGTAGCCGCTTATTAGACGACCGTTGACCCCAAGATGATCGGAATACTTCCATGTGTGGGCACTAGAAGATACCCAAGCTGTTGGTCATCCTTCAGGCGAGACAGTGATGCAAGTTCTTCTCTCTATCAAGTAGTGCGCAACTGTGCCCTTGTCCCTTTTGTTACTGGGGCTACTCTGATGGTGAGTGGACTGTTTTCAAGGGTTGGAACCGGTAGGTGAGATGTGGATGTGCAACACGAGAACAAACTTCGATTCCTATGCAAATTATGGCCTACCACTCCACTAGTTTTCCACACCAAGCTCACGAATCCTACGCATTCAAGACGTGTACTAGTACTGTGTTGCACCTTTTTCACATATAAAGTCAAAACAAAATTTCTCCAAAGTTCCTACTGTGGGAACAATCTCTTAGCAGGAAATATCTGATCGAGCTTTAGCACTGCTCGTTTTTGGTAACCAGCCATCTACCAGGGTTACTGATGACCCCCACAATGAGAGCAAACCTATTGCTAGCACCAGCGCCAGTAGATGTCAATTCGGAAAGCGCAAACCCAGCATACAAGAAAAACAAACTATTACCACGTGGATCGAACCATGGGCCTATCGTGCCTTTCTCAGATGTTTCGATACCCA